GCGGGCGGGGGGAGACCGAGCCAGGGGGTGGAGGAGACGGAGGAACCGGCAGGATGGGGGGGAGAGCTTACCTGCTCCTGCTGGTTCCTCCTCCGCCTGCTCAGTTTGGAGCTCCCCCCCCCGTGAGTTTAGTGGGTCCTCTTTCTTGTGATATTATAATTGCATTGGTTTTATTGTTTTTAACTGTTTTAGTCTGAATCTGCATGTATTAATGAAATGTTGTTCACTGCCCTGAGCCCTCTAGGGGGAAGGGCGGTCTAAAAATCAAATAAATAAAATAAAACATGAAACTAAACAAGAGGCACTGGGTTTTCCCTGAAATTGGCTGGCGCTTTGCCCCTTGTCAATTAATATGTACTGGAACATGTCAGGAGAAGCTCAGAAAATTTCTGGCAACTCTGAAGGCCAGTCATGTATACAAGTTCTATACTCTGTCGAAACATGGTACCAGGTCTCAGTTAGTGCCTGTCAGCTGTTTAGGATGCAGAGTGGATAGCTGCATCCTTGTGTATGCAGGAAGGGATCAGAGCATTGCCTTTTTTGTAGGCTGTTCTGAACAAATTTTAAAATGTTCTCAGAACTTTAAACAGAGCAGTCGAGCAGTAACCTTTTAAAAATCTAACTTACCTGACTACTCCCCCCCCCGCGGTTGACTTAACATATATGTTAGTTAACTATGCAAACCACCTGTAAGTCAGTGCAGATAAATCATACACAACAAAATTTGCTTAAAGAGGGATCATTGCTAGGTTTACTGTTCTTTGGCTATTTGTATAGTCAAGGTGTAAGAGTTAATGCCAGTTAAGCAGAAAGTTTCAGAAAACAACATACTCCCATTTGTTGATTTTTTTTAACCAAAGGTAGGAAATAGAAAGATAAAACATATTTGTACATAATCATATATCACAGCAGGTAATAAAGTTAATGGGTTGAGATATTTAGATTAAGTATGGTTATGTGTCCAGGTTATAATGGCTACAAATTGGATATCAACCAACAAATTGAACCTAGAATATTTATGTGCATCATATTTCTTCAGTCTTTAGAAGTGTTTCTGTATGCTGCAGGGCTATTTTTGGGCAGGAACGCACAGGAACGGAGTTCCGGCTGGCTTCAGATATTATAACTCTGGCTTCAGAGTTGGCCACGCCCACTACAGCCAAAACCTCTGTGTGTGGCTACAGAGGGAAGGCCTGGAGAGTGACACCCCCCTGGCCACTCCGAGGCGGGCAGGCCGGGGGGGACTGGAAGGATCGGGGAGGCATTTAAAGGCCTCCCCTTACCTTCCCCAGCCTGTCCAAGGGCCGGCTTGCCTGGGCGCCCCGCAGCTGTGGGTGCCCGGGCAAGCTAAGGGAAGGTATGGTGGTGGGGCCTAATATGCTAATGAGCTGCACTGTCGGGGGTGTGGGCTATTATACTAATGAGTTTCTGCTGGGCTTTTTCTACAAAAAAAGCCCTGGTATGCTGGGTAGCAGGGTTATCCTATAAAAGTGTGTACATAATTGTAGTGCTAGTATTGTAGTGCTAGTAGTATTCTGGGTGGTGAAGGGATACAGGCCCCCATGGTAGACTTTATCAATCTGTCCCTGGGTTCAGGGATCTATCTAGAGGGACTAAAAGAGGCTGTGGTTGTGCTGCTCTTTTAAAAAAAGCAACCCTTGGATCCCATGGATCCTTCCAATTACTGCTCAGTTGGAAATCTTTCGATCTTCTTTGTGATTTCTGTGCATCACACCTCTGGGATACAGTGCGCCTGCAAAGCAAAAGGGATTTTTGCACCCACTCCCCAGTCACGCGCCGGCCCCACTGTGCATGACCAAAGGAGGGGCACGACAATCCCGCCAGTTCTCTTCTGAGGAACCGATCGAGGTCAGCGCAGGCGCACTATATTCCAGAGGTGTGAATGCACAGATGACCACTCGAAGATCATCAGTTACAGGAAAGCAACCTGTTTTTTCTGGTTGAGGTGATTCAAAGAGCAGAAGCAGAACAGCTCCAGAATTTCCTGGATGACACATCGGCACTAGATGCATTTCAGTCCAGTTTCCTTCCACCCTAGCCACAGGATGGAGACAGCTTTGGTTATCCTCACAGACAATTTCCACAGGCTTGATCTTACAGCAGCGTTTGACATGGTCAATAATAATCTTTTGACCCACCACATTGCTGACATAGGAGTTCATGGGGGTAGCCTTACAGTGGCTTACCTCATTACTCCAGGGACAGAGGGTGGCACTGGGTGAGAGAGTGTCAACTAGGCACCCACTGATATGTGGGGTTTCTCAGAGGGCAGTCCTCTCCCTGATGCTATTTAACATCTACATCCGCCCCCTCACCCAACTGGTGCAGAGTTTCGGGCTGGAATGTCACCAGTACGTTGATGACACCCAGGTATACCTATTGATGAATGGCCAGCCACATACTGCTCCTGTAAATCTGGCACACCTATTGATGAATGACCAGCCACATACTGCTCCTGTAAATCTGGCTGAGGGTTTGGAGGCTGTGGTGAAGTGGTTAAAACAGAATCGGTTGAGACTGAACCCTGATAAGATGGAGGTTCTGTGGCTGGGTGAGAGGAACATGAGTTTGGGAAGCCAGCTCCCGGCCCTTGATGGTGTGCCCTTATCATTGGCACCAACCGTTAAGAGCCTAGGTGTGATTCTGGACACCTCATTGTCAATCGAGGCCCAGATAACAAATGTTGCCAGACTGGCATTTTTCCAGCTGCACCAAGTCAGGCAACTGGCCCCCTACCTGTGTTACCCTGTCCTAGCTAAACTAATCTACACAACGGTCACCTCCAAGCAAGACTACTGAAACTTGCTCTATGTAGGGCTGCCCTTGAGGCTGACCCGGAAACTCCAGGTGATCCAGAATGCAGCTGTGTGGGTCCTTACTGGGACCCCCCGTATGGCACATGTCCAACCTGTGCTGTGCAAGCTGCACTGGCTTCCAGTGGAGTACCAGATCAGGTTCAAGGTTCTGGTGTTAACCTTTAAAGCTCTTAATGGCCTGGGACCCACGTACCTTCAGGACCGCCTCTCCTGATATACCCCCAGAAGAGCTCTACACTCAGGAGACAAGAACTTCCTGGTGGTCCCCAGTCTAAGCGACATCCAGCTGTCCTCAACTAGGGCTAGGGCTTTTTCTGCCCTGGCTCCCACCTGGTGGAACTCTCTGCCGAGTAACATCCATGCCCTGCGGGACTTATCACCATTCTGCAAGGCATGTAAGGCAGAGATGTTCCGCCAGGCATTTGGTTGAGGACAACAATGGTCTTCCATCTAATCTGGCACTCGTCTTCCTCTTTTTTCCCCACCTCCCTCCTCTACAAGGCAATGACATTCCAGGAATATCGCCATCAGATTGGCTCAGGCTGCTGAAACTGTACTGTATTTTTATATATTTTTAATTCTGAAACCTTTGTAAGATTTGTAATTTTACTATTGTTGTGCACCCCCCTGAGCCCTGTTTTTCAGGGAAGGGCAGTCTCAATATCAAAGTTAATAAATAAATAAAATAAATAGTGCTTCCCCAGTCACCTCACTGGGTTGTGGGGATCCACTGCAGTTCTGTATCCTTCCAATTCAGCTGTTTGTTCTTTTGTGCAGTTAGTAATACATGACGCAGATTCATTCTTTTCAGTCAAGAACCTGAACAATTTGAAAACTGAAAAATTAAAGTGAGATCCTGTGCAAGGAAGTTTCTCCTGCTTTCAGAGTTCTGGTTCCCGAGCACATTTGTTAACATTGGAGTCTAATATTTATTTCTGTTTCTCTTTTGATATGGCATTTCTGACTTTTATTTACTTTGTACTTTTCAGGTTACCAAGCAATGTGGGGCTTTCAAATAAAGTTGCTGATATGGAAAAGCAAGCAGAATCCATTGTGGTACTGAATCCTGAGAAAGCAAAAGAGCAGATGCCAGAAGATCTGAGTCAAGGCAAGACGATAAAAGAAAAAGGTCAACAGTTTTGTAAAGATGCTAGTGTTCAGAAAGCAAAAGAGACAGACAGCTCTCACTGCTGATGTGCTAAAAGGCGTTGACTTCTGGAAGTCCCTTTCAGTGAGTGCAAGTTGTTTCATTTGTATGTATGGAAAGGGCAATATTCTGTACTAACGAATGTACTTTATGATAGTTTACTGAAAGAGCCTTTTATATGCATTTTTCATTTATGTGCATTAGACTATGTAAGTATGCACAGTCCAGAGTCACAATTATGGACTCCTTACTGCTGTAATCAGTGGAGTTTCTTCTAAATTATTGCATTTGTTTCTTGAATTATGCAAAATATCAAAATTTATTTTGGTGATGTTATTTTGTGTTAATATGTTATTTAAGGCTTAATTCAAATCCTGATAAAATTAACTGAAAGGACAGACCAGGCCCTAATTGGGTAATTGGAGTAATGCATTTGTTAGATTATAGAGTGATAGATATGACCACAAATAAATTCTAGTAGACACAGGACTCAGTATAGGTGGACTTCTCTGCAAGACTCATGAAAATTTGGGCTATCAGCTAATTAAAGAGATGTCTTGAGGGGTTTTTTATCTGTTAAAACTTTAATCCTTTGTCTATGAGTGAATATTAGAATTTGGAAGATAAAGCATACTTTCTTGTTTTTTAGATGATCTATGCATATGTTATAGCAAAAGCTATCTTAAAAGAAGCGTGTCTTCCTGTGAGAGAGAGAAGAGAATGTCTCTCTGAAGAGTACAGCAATCAGGGGTTTATTATAAGCATCTGTATTAAAGCTAGGTCCATGTGTTTTTTTAATTTGCGGCCCAGTTAATCATTTAGTTTAAGCAGTCAATTACAGCTCTACAATGAAAATTAAGAGCAGTCCAAGAACTATGTTCTTTCTTCTGCGGACTTCCTTTTTATTTTAAAGGGCTCAAAGTTTCCAATAGATTGCATTGGCAAGATATTAACACAGTGGCACAGTTCTATCCAATATAATGATTATTGTTTTTCTTACTCATCCTTTGTACTTTTGAAAATTTAACAACATATTCGCTTGTCTCATCTGAACAGCAACAAAATTTGCTACTCTGTTGGAAGTATCACAGGGATGTTAGCCTCCTGCTTCCAAAGCCACAAAGGAAAAAGAGATTTGTTCCTCCTGAAATATACCCATTGCTTTCAGTGAATTAAACTAATTCTCAAGCATACTACAGAGGATAAATTAGTTAATGAGGTTTGCTTACTTAAAACTCACTTGTCCAGACATTGTATAACCCAGTTAGGTTTTGTTTTCTTATTAATATATTTGGTACAACCTCTCAGCTACTGGTATCCTTCAACTGATAATTTTCATGGTCCTACTAGCTTGATACTTATTTTGACTCCATTGCAGTCAGTGAGCTAAGAATGGTATAACTGTGCCTAAGATGGCCCACAGCCCCCTATACCATTTTATCCAGGCAGAATCTGAATTCAGTTTAAAACTAAAGGCCCATTACATAGCTGCCACTGAGACTGCCTGTGCAGGACATCTTCTTTAGGCAGAGAGATCTTAATGTGTAACAGTTCATCACATGGATCAGTTGGATCCACAGTATCTTCTGCTAGAAATTAACCATCAGGAATATTTTTGATGCTGTGAAGACAAACAGTATCATGAGCTGGGTCGTGCAAAAAGATCACCATATAAATGTGGTTTCCAGGGATGGGCACAAACTGGGGAAATGTGGTTCGGTTTGTGGCATGCCAGGTTGACGAAGCATGAACTGTCATGAACTTTTAGCCACCAAGAAAGATCCAGGTAGTCAGCCATATTGGTCTGAAGCAGTAGAACGAATTTATTTATTTATTTATTATTGCACTTCTACCCTCCCCTCCCCGCGAGCAGGCTCAGGGCGGCTCACAACAGGGCACCATGTGCCGACACATTAAAAACAGGATAAAACAATCACATATCAACCAATAAAGTGCTCAGTAATTTAGAGTCCAGTGGCACCTTTAAGACCAACAAAGGTTTATTCAAGGTATGAGCTTTCATGTGCAAGGCCTTTGTTGGTCTTAAATGTGCCACTGGACTCTAAATTTGTTCTTTTAGCCACCAGGAAAGTGCTTTCTGGGGAAATGACAGGCTGTCATTTGACAGGTGGAGGTTCGTGATCCTGTGCAAGCTAGAGACATCAAAGTCACAGTGGACCTCCCACAGATGCTCCTCTATATGCCTTCCAAGTTCTCCCCCCCCCGGGTTGTTTTGTAGTTTGTTAAACTTTGAAAGTGAACAGAGACGGTCTGTATGGAAATGTATTTGTTCACCGTTTGAAAGTTTGTGGAAAGTTCGTGCCAGTTGACCTGCCATGACCTTGAGTTCGTGAACCACAAACCAGCCAAAATTGAGCCGGTTCATGCCCATCTCTAGTGATTTCAGTTTCCACGTGGTTGTCATTTCATATTAAACAAGTTTCACTCAATTATTCCTTAAGATAGATGGATACTTGTTCAGGATGGCAAAGTAAAGCATTATACTTTCTGTAACTCAAAGAAAGTAAAATTGTTCAAATTTTAGCAGCATGCAACATGTGGATTTTATTAATACATTTGTGAAACTAACAGGAAGTAGTGAAATCTTGAGAACTGCATCTTTTTGGTAAAAAACAAAATCATGATTACGAAGAAAAATATTGAGAGTGAAACACACTGGATCTAAAGGACCACTCATCTCATGGAAAGGACCATTATTACCTCTTCCTGACTTCTGCAGTTCATTTTAAAAAGTGCCTTTAAAAAAGTATTCCTAATGGTTACATGTCCCGACGTCCCCAGAAGTAGAACATAATGCAGTGGTGTGAAAGGGGTTGCAACTCACAAAAATTGGTAGGAATTGTGGGCCCTTCCACCCTCCTTGACTGAGGAGAAATGCCTTCTGCTCATGCAAGGGCTTCTCTGACTCATGCCAATATGTTCCGCTCTGCTAGTTCTTAAACTTATATCATGGTTGTTAAGAGGTGACTCCTATTACAGGCATCTAAAATATATAATAGTAGCAGAATTCTTTCAGATCTGCTAAGGAATTTAAAAACCTTAACCAAATATTATATTCCAGTAGTAGCAAAAGTCTGCCCAAATGCCCCCCCCTCCCTGCCTAGTTGGGCCCGTGTGGGTAGCACACTGGCTACAGGATTAGAGCCTGAAGGTCAGGCATTCTAAGAAATCATCTGTGCATCATAGTAAAAGATTACTAACTAAACAAACAGCAATAATAAAATTCAAACCACGTAATTAAACACAAAGAACCAAATGGCCTTGCTATGTTCAGAGTGGTCTTTCAGTCACATTACTCCCAAGAGCTCAGTTCTGAGTTCTACCTCTACAAATAGAAAGGTTTACCATTTTATCGTAACCAGTTCCTAACTCTGTGGTCATACAGAGCTGGCTTCTGTGATAGCCATGGATATTTCAAAATCATGAAGTGTACCAGGGCCACTAAGAGAGAAAGCTTAGACTAAATTCCCAGGGGCCCTGGTCACTCTTGGTCTCCATGAAATTTGGCAGCTCATGTGAGTGGGTTTCATGTGTTTTTTGTCTTGGGTCTGATGTGAAGGAGATAAGAGGAAATTTTTGTGCAGCAGCCACTAAAGGTTCTTGACATCCTTGTAGGTGATAAATATTTTTCAGCAAAATGCTTGTGCTGCCAAGAATGGTAAAAGGAACCTACAGTTTCCAGTAAATTTAGCCATGTTTTAATTATGTGCCACTAATGTCTACTTTCTTCAAATAAGGGCTCTCCCCTCACTATTCTCCCCTTCATCAGAGATAATTGTGGGTAATATTTATAGGGTACTTCCACCTCACCCCTTTCCACTCACCACAGTCTGCATCTCTGCTGCTTACATGCATTGAGGTGTCCAATTGCAACAATATTTATTGTCCATTTTCTACCAGGTACAGCCACAATGCAATACTCTCTCTCTGATGGTTATACAGCTGTCAACCAATTAATTACTTATATGCCTCTAGACACATCTAGAGCATTGCTCTCTGCACTCAGTCAGCCTGCATTCATGGAGTTTGGCTGTTAATTGTTGTAACTTAAATTAGTGTTGCATGAACACTATGCATTTCAGTGTCTACACCTTTTCTGGCAATAATAATGTAATACATATTACCATATTGATACAATTCTGGCAAAAAACTTCTATACATCTATCCCCAGCTGTTTCTTCTAGCTAAAGAGTTATGCTAAGCATTCTAATTCATATCCCTACCAGCATTCAGTAAGTTGTATATTCATACTGACTCCAGTCAGAAAGAATACACAACATACTGAATGCTGGTAGGGATATGAATTAGAATATATTCTTTCTGACTGGAGTCAATATACAACCAACATCCCACATCTCATATAGTATGCTACCAGCTGGTGTTTGTACTGAATCCTTTCACAAGACCTTAGAATGCTTAGCATCCCACATCTCATACAGTATGCTACCATCCGGTGTTTGTACTGAATCCTTTCACAAGACCAAGCATTAAGAGTCCTGTCTTCAGTTGACTTCACTTTATCATGTGACTCTATCCTCAGTATGAAGGTTATAACTGCCTGGATGTAATGCAGGAAGTAGAGGCTGACTCAGTAATGTACTATTAAAATAGAAAAGGGCATAATTTCAGACTTGTCCCCAAAATATCTACCGAGTAGTTGAATTTAATGAGGGAAGGTGACATGGTATGGCCCAATCTCATCCGATCTCAAAAGCTCAGTAGGGTCAGTACTTGGATGGGAAGACACTGCAGTGGAGGACAATGGCAAACCACCTCCTCACTTGCCTTGAAAGCCCCTTGCTGGGGTCACTATAAGTCAGTTATGACTTGATGGGATTTATGTACATAGTTGCACTTGGGATGGGGGGAATGCCATAACAGTAGATATTCACAAACTGTTTGTGCTGGCCATAGAATATCCACACATACCCAGGAAGTACTAGGTACACACAACACTGGTCTATGCAGTTGGGCTAGTACCACTTGCTGGAAGAGGTATCCAAATACTGTACCACTTACAAGGAGTATCACCACAGCGGTGCCATTTTCAGCAGCCCCTCCCCTGGCATATATAACATATTAAATAGTTCTGGGTTGGCGTTCTTGCTTGTATTTTATAAGGGCCAGAAGTATTAGCCTTTTTAAAATCCACTGGGGCTTTGAGAACCAACCTGCATGCCAGACCCATAGCTAGGATTTTTTTTACAGAGGGCTTTTAAATTTTTAAGGGGGCTTAAACCAAAGCAACCAGGTGTGTGCAAAAAGCATGGCTCTTGTGGGTAGCTACTGACAGTAGCCTGCATACCATAGCTACCAACAGTAGCCTGCATACCCCCCAACCCCCCACCAGTGAAAATAATAGCACTTAACCTCCCCTACACCCCACCTCCAACATTAGTGAAGCCCACCCACACCATTCATAAGTGCACTCCCCCACCTTCCCTGCGGTGCAAACTTACATTGTTGGAACAGCCTAGGACTAGAGGATGGAGCAACTGGCCGGCCAGCTCATCATGGGTGAGGCTGGGCTTGGTACGGCAGTGCCGGCGTGCACAGTTAAACACAACTTTTTAAAAAATGGGTGCATGTTGACTGCATCTGGGCAACAGCAGCTAGAGGACGGAGTGACCAGCTGACCATCATGGGCAAGGCTGGGCTTGGAGAGGGTGAAGCCAGGGCAGACCTGGTGAGGTCATATGCAACACAGCTTCTTCTTGATGCGGCTCCTGGGTCTGGCAGACATGGTGAGGTCATATGCAGCGCAGCTTCTTCTTGATGCGGCTCCTGGGTCTGTTCACGGTGCAGGAGCACAAACCTTTAAAAAACTGTTAAAATGGTTTTTTAATTTTTTTGTGAAAATCTTGTGGGGCTATGCTTTTAAGAGAGGGGGTGGAGCCCTGAAAAGCCCCACTGTAGCTACAGGCCAGCTGTGTGCTAACTCTGCAGAAAATCAGAATCAGCCCCAGAATAGCAAGAACATGACTTGACTGTTGCTATTATAATACAGCTCCTGTAATCTGAAGCGGTAGAGTCATAGCTTTTTAACCACGTCGTAAAATGGTACATTTGACATCACCTGTTTGCCTGAAGACAGTGACAAATATGCTATTTATTACTTTACCTGCAGATCCACATTCCACTGGTTTCCAGAATCAGCATTCTGTGTCTCAGTGTGTAATCAGGAATTTTTTAAAAACACATTTGCAATTTAATGTTTGTATTTGGGTGATGATATCTTTGAATGCACTATAAGATTTTTATGACATGAGCCAATGATGTGTAGTTAGGGTTAAAGGATGAATGTATTCATATGGCTTGATCAGCTCTGCAAGTAGTTGTTTTGTGCGTGTCTCCTAAAATGCAGATCATTACATGGTGTAGTTGTGTGTGAATGCCTTTTTATTTAGCATGTTTGTTAAGCCAGTGTTAGGGCTGATTTAATCAGTAAACTAATTAGATTTCATGAATGTGGGGAAACATCCATTGTGAAGACATACTTCAGTAGGTTTCTTTTCCTACTAATTTTTTCATCTGTATATTAGTTTGATTACAATGAATTTAATGCAACAGTTTCTAAATGTATTTTTCCTTGAATTGTTCCTTCTTTCTAGCTAAATTATTTGTTACTCTGTGGCATAAATTATCTTTACAATGCTGCTTATTAAAAAAGGTTTCTGACTTTTCCCATACATTGGTTGTGTTTTACTACTATACCATACCCAAAACTGGAGTGTGCATCATTCAGAAGCCATCAGTTTTACTTTCCACTGCCATGCAGCAAAGCTAGTTACTAGCCTGAACATACACAAAGCCACTTGGCCCCAGAGAAGTGCTGGGATAGTAATGAGCAATGAACTCTCATCCGCAGCCAATTTCATAGATACACATAAATCTCTGGTGTATGAAAGCTATTCATTTTTGTGGAGACAGCCTATCAAACAAGCCATTCACATGAAGAGAGTTCCTACATTAAGATGAATGGAAAGCTTTTGCATGCACTTTCACCCCTATTCCTTGAACAAACACTGGATCAAGGCAATTGACATTGTCAGAGTAAATAATAGACGTTTTTATATTTTGCACTATTCCTAATTAAACTGAAGTATTACATGTTTTAAAGAGTATATATCCATTAAAGTATTCATAGAATTGTGATGGTGCAGAGACATTTAAAAATGTCTAAATGTCAGGAAATTAGTTATGTTACTAAATTCATAATTTCCTCATTCAGAATATGACTATGTTATGGTCTGTTGTATTATGAATCAAGCATAGTTTCTCCTAAAAGTTCTTCTCAATCTTGGAATGTGTAAAATGAGCACTGAACACTCAGCAGTCCACAGGCCATGTGCTCCAGCCAACTGGTTTGTCGGTGCTTAAGTTCATTAATGTTAATACTTTCGGTGAAACCCTCTTGGATTGCAGTGAATGACGTGCTCACATCCCCTGACTAAGCAGCCTTTGTTTGCTGATAACCTGCTCTGTTGGGATCAATAATATGGTTCCCCCCCCCCATTTTGTTTTTTGCAAACATTTTTGTGATTGCTTTTTTTAATATAAATATTTTGTTTCATACTTCTAAGGGAAACATCAAACATCAGATTAATAAAAGTAAAAACTATTCCTCTACCCATGATACAAATGTTTGTACGCCTAACTTCTAATATTGCAAGTTAAAAAATTTAAAAAGTATGGATATAATAAAAAAGACTAACATTAGCTAATAAACTGTCCAGAAACACTGAGGATACAAAAACATAATGAATGCATCCTTTCCTTTCTTGCATGCCAGAAAGAAAAAAACCAAAACTACAGGCACTCCAAGGGGTCCTGTGAGGATAGAAAAACATAATGGATGCATCCTTTCCTTTCTTGCGTGCCAGTAAGAAAGAAAACAAAACAAAACTACAGGCACTCCAAGGGGTCCTGTATGCTGCCTCCTTACTCTCTTCTTGAGCTTTTTGTGTCATCCTGTACCTTATGAATGGTTGTGCCTCTGTCACAGGATTAACACTTCCAAGGTGTTGCCAGTTGCTGAATGCTACTGTAAATGGTTGAATTAATGGAGGTGAAGAATTCTCCAATGCCAGGATCTCTCAGCAGTGTTCATGGTTGGAAGTTGATTGTGGTGCTCCTTGCTCACCAGCACTACCTCTTGTGTGGCCTCTGATTGTCTGGTACTGGACGTCCTTACCTTGGGTCAAACCTAAATGCTCTCCCATCTACACCGAGATGGGACACTCTGGTATGGGAGCAGTGAGGAAAAGATGAATTGGTTCCCTGAAAAGAGGAGACTGGTGACCTGGCTGCTGATTAAGGTAGTGGCTTCTTCATCATGTTGAGTATGGCTTCAGCCTTGGAAGAGGCTATTGTCTCAGTGTGGGGAGATATGATAGTTTGGCCAAGAAGGGGTGGTGGTGGTATAGGCGGTAAATTTGGAGGCATTAGTTTGTTCCATGAGCTAACCAAGGGCTTTAGTGGTGGTTTGTTGAATGGCTGAGTGATTGTTGACTTCCATCTGAACCCTCCTCTGGTTCCTGGTTAGGGGACATTTGTTTAGAAGAAACATTTGAATTTCCATGCAGCTCTTCATCATGACTGGTTTTGTGAGCTACAATTGCTATGATAGAATACAAAAAGGCACATGGCACTATCCACATGCATGCAGCAACAGAGAACTTTCAGAAAGCAGGTGAGTTCTTTCCAGTTGCTCACCAAAACAGTTCAATTAGTGAACCACTTCTGAACTGAGCTGACAGAAGTTCACCCCTCTCTATTGGAAACCAATGTGTCTAAGACAACAAAATGGGAGTTTTAAAAGAAATATTGTGATTATTTATTATGGTTATTATTATAATGCAGACCTGCATTAAAGTTCACTGGGGTTTTGTTGAACCACCACATTCAGAAATGGATTTTCAAACTTAAGTGATTAATGGTTTTTGTGATTCCATGTGACTGTTCCTATATGTTTCCAAGGGTGATGAGACAGACCTCACCTCAGCTGCTGTCCCACGCAGTATGCTCCCAAACAAAGAACTGGGCCAACAAATATCAAATGTAAAGCATAACTTTCTACAGAGCAAGCTGTACTGTCTCCACAGGTAAATCACTGGAGTAAAATTCTTCTTCCTCTTCTTGTTCATCTTCAGTAAAATCAATAAATTCAAAGTCACCTCTTGAACCTGAAATGGAAAATATGTTCAAAACATTTAAGCAACAATTGTATTTTCAAACCATGCTGATAATTGTGCTTTGATAAATTTTCAAGGAAAACTAAAAAATCTAGAGTTAGTTTAGGCTCTTTCCTGTGAAACATTCTAAAGTGTATTTAGTATGAACAGTGCAATTGAAACTTCAGTTGCAGCAACAAATAGCCTAAGAGATCATAAGCCAGTACTAGCATCCTGGAACTAGTTATTATCCGCTTTTGGAGGAGACTAGACTATGTCCACAAACTCTACTTCCAACCTCCACACAAGTATTACTCCTTGAGCAGAGAGTTCACAAACATACAAACTGTACATGCATGGGCTTTGTAGCCTACAAAGTACATATTGCACAGAAAGGTCCTATGCACTTACAGTTTCTATATACATAGACTCTGGGAACAACATTTCTGTGATACTTGGAGGTTAGGAGAGAGCCTGTTGTCCCGATCCCAATCCCTTGTCACACACTGAGTGGATCTAGTTTAACAATGTTTGCAAGGGAGTAATTTGATTGGGATCACATCTGGTCCAACTCCCAAAATATAGAAAAACAAGCAGGGGACTCTTAAGGAATTGTGTGGGATGGGAAATCCCTTCTACCTTGCTGGTCTCCTTTCATGTACTGTCTCCTTTTCTCCTTTAGCTACCTCTTACTTGTCACCACATTTGCTTGCCCCTGCTCCCCCACACACCCACTTGCCAAGAGTTGCTTAGCAACCAAAAAATAGCAGCTGAGATCTCAGGCTAGAGTCTCATGAAATTTAGGTACTATTCAGGGTTTCCTGGACAACCCAAAATGGCTGCTAAGTTTCTATAAGACTACTCTGCAAGACCTCAACAGGGGTTGCTAGCCAACCTGATACAACATCACTGAGGCCCCTGCTTGGGATAGATGGTTCTGTGGAATTTTGCCTGGTGCTTTGGAAAGGGCTCTAAATCCTTCAGAAAAATGCACAGAACAGTCTACATGAGGCAGGGGGCTTCAGCAGTGTTGTATGGGGTTGTCCAGCAACCACAAATAGTGGTCAAGATCTCAGTCATCATTCTGCTATGTACATACATTGCTTGTATAAGTTTTACCCTCTCCCCTTAATTTTTTTTAGTTACTTGATTTTTCTGTAAATCTGGTCATTTCCTTGTATTTACAGTGCCCTAGCCTAGCATAGCCCTGCCTTGTGGATTTTTTTATCCATATGCTGGGGCCACAGTTAGGAATTAAATAATATGATCTGCTATCCACCTTCATCACCATAATATTAAAGAACATGAAGCATAATTCAGCCAACGTTAAGCACTTTCACATCTCATTCACTTCCATAGCAGGGTTGAATATTTGCTAAAATTTCTCAAAATCTATGAAAATTAAGTGTTATTTGGGCTGGATAGTAAATATAGACATTAAGCAGCTGTATATAAAATTGGTAATTTCTCCATTGGAGTGTAAAACTAGGATTTTGTGACTCAGAATTCACACTCTATTCCCCCACCACCACCAAACTGGCTTTGAATATTTATTTCATTTTCATTTGCAATCCCTTCAACCATAAATTGGTGAGATTATGGATAAAATGAAAACAGAGCAAATCAATAAAACAGTAAATACTAAAATCATTTAGAAATGTATACAAGAAATCTAGCAACAGCTTCCAGCCAGCCCACATCTTTTGAAAACAACAGTTTCAGAAGAATATAATTATTAGAGCACTGAATGTCCAAGTTGACAAGAGATCCCAATATAGCATGCCTAGCTTCAATAAGCAAAGGACAGTGTAACAGCATATATGAGATGGTTTTTATTGCTTCAGACACAGAAGAACAATTTCTTTCAGTCCAGGGAATACCTTTAAGCTTTCCTGTGTATTCAGCTGTTGGGAGTGAATTACATCTAGCCAAGAGAATTAAATATCTCTACTTGGGATTTTTCATAGTAACCAAATAATTAGTTACTATAAAGGGAGTTGTAGGGATATAGCCATAATACAAAGGAGAACACTAGTAACCCAGACCTATTAGGGTTGCCAGGTCCTTACCTCCTGCCACCAGGGAGTGGGGCAACATTGCCATGTGCGATGTCCCGGACATGATGACATCATGCAGAAACAATGCCATCACGTCATGCAGCAATGTCATGTAGCTACCTTTTACAGTTCCGCAGGGCCTGCAAGACGGAGCTCTTCCACCAGGCCTTCGACTAGGGAGCCGCATCACGCAACCAAGGCCCTGGCCCCAATATTAACAATATTAACATCTATATTAACATCAACAGCTGATATGACCCAGACCACGATGGGAACTGACTGACTGCTTGCTGGATGCTGTTCATGCCTGCCGCTGTATAGGAACTGTTTTTAGCACTAGTACTTTGTAATGTTTTATATTTATATTGTCATGATTTTATTTAGTTTTGTTTTAGCTGTCTAGTGTTTGTGTAAGCTGCCCTGAGCCTGCTACAGTGGGAAGGGTGGGGTAGAAATTTAAATAAATAAACACTCTTTTGCCCTCAAACCAGAGCATTGTGCCGCGACGTCCCCAACATGATGACATCACTTCTGCCTGACATCATTGCATTGGGGATGTTGCCATGGCGGGCAGAAGCCTGAAAAATCAGGGGAACCCCCACCCAGACTGGGGAGTCTGATAACCCTAAGACCAATTATGTGATAAAATTGCTTCTGTTATTGTTTTCAATAGGTGATCAGAATAGTAATTAGATTATCATCTAAAAATGATGCAATTTGTCAAAGAAGGCATTAGCATTTGATGATAAAAATAAATCCGCCCTGAGCCCATTCGTAGGGAGGGCGGGGTATAAATATAATAAAATAAATAAATAAATCTTGCCTCATTAATGGCATATTTCCATGTGATTGATTGTAAGGAGGACAGTCCATTTTCTAATCTAATTACTGAGTTGGAGACACAAGTGGGAATTCCCACAATGGTTGGAAGAAGCTAGTTTGCAGCCTCTCAAGATCTTTAGGTACTACATGCTGCTATAATGGTGCCCCATATAGGGTTGCAAGTAAGATCTTGGAATTGTATAATTTGAGTGATGCTGGAAAAGACTGTGCACCTTTCAGAAAATAAAATGTGTTCAAGGATATGGACAGAAGCTGAAAGCTACTTATGATATGTTTTAGATGACTTTTCGATGTTATTTAGAGTGTCAAAATGGATGCCTAAATAAGAATAAACTTATTCAAACTCAATTCCTTGCAACCTTCAAGGATGCCTTGTCTTCCTAGGGTCTCTGAACTTCTGAAATAGCACACGAGATGCTTTTGAAAGTTCAAAATAAACACAGTGTTGTATTTAACTTAAGAAGAGAAAAGGTCAGGTAGAATCAGGGGTAGGATTTATGATGAGATGAACCGATAATAAAACTGAGGTAACTTTGTAATCACATTAAATTCAGATAATTTGTTGCCAACAAGTAAGTGTTCCTGCTATTAAAAAAGGTATTTTAAAACTTTCAGGGGAGAGGCTTTCTTTTCAGTTTCTGCTTAAACACTCAAGCATAGTTTTCTGAGTTTCACTGATTCTTTAAGTCTAGATGGCAGGAACATACAACAAAGTTCCCTAAATCCTTCTATATACACAAGGAGGGATCACTCCTCTTTTAAAAGCTATCTCCCTTTTCACTGGGCAAGGATTACTTCTCTTAATTAGAAGCAATTTCTCTTTTCAGCTCGGAGATCCTCTCTGATCCTCTCACTTCTTTTTCCTCCTTTCCAGTCCACAGTCAGTGTTTAACTGTCTCTTCTTCAACTGTCAGTTCTCAACTAACATATCTTAACTGACTCTCTCTATAGAATACCATTTAAGCAGTCTGTCACCAGGGCCGGCTCGCCTGCTAGGCGAGCTAGGCACTCGCCTAGGGCGCGCCAGCCCTCAGGGGCACCAAACTGTGCCCCGCCAGGGCACCCCCA